TGGTATTAGACTACAGGGGAGTTATGGATAGGGAACAGGATACTTATGGCCAAATCAAGATGCTACAGTGCTGGAGAGGGGATCAGGTGCACCACTACACAGGCTCCTCAGGAGTTCGCATGCTTGCAGAAGCCAGGTGCAATCACACCACCTTCAGGGGCACTGGAGTGGAGCATTCTTATTGGCAGCCAATGACACCTGTTAGGCGTAGACTGCTTGCTTAGCTTCTCCGTGTCTGAGCAGCACACCGTAGAGGTGTATTTATGGGAGGAGCATGGTGACATATCTGCGCACCCCCTTGTGCATGCCCCCTTTGGGCCATGCGGCCTGGGCTCCTCTTTTGCTCTGCCAGAGCGCAGATTGATAGCTAATGGGTGCACTGGGGAAGGAGGGAGAAGGGATGGCCCCTTTGTTCTCTATCCCTCTCAGACTCATGCATCTGCATCACATTGGCAATAATTTAGCTCTTAGATAACAAAGAATGACAAATAGTTTTTGTACACGGCATGCTTTACTCATCCATCTCCCCACACCTGCACTCTTGTGTTATCAAAACCTACTGCCTGCCAGTAGACTCAAACTACCATGTGAAGTAGGATAATACATAGCACCAGCCTTTTACTAGAGCACCTTACTCACTACAAGGCAGCCTCTCTGCTTTCCAGAATATTCCTCTCCTCAGTAAAGGTGGATATAACCTAGAGAGTTCTAAGTAAATTCAGAGCCCGTCCCCCCACCCATCATATTCCAGAGGAAAAATGTAGTTCTGTCCAGCTTGTCTCTATTCTCGAGCTGCAAGGTAATGGCATAAATGAGATCTTGGAAGAGGAGAGGAAGAAGGGAAATCTTCACCACACCTTACTTTGATTTGTAAAGGGTTGTGTCCATTTGTAGTGTTATAAAAATGCTCATTAATAAAAATGATAAGAAGTAGGGCATCTTTCCATCAAATATAAAGTACATGAAGTGCAAATACTTCATCAGGGAACAGATACGTTTGTTCTGCCTAAATTTTGAACCCACTTGCATATGATAAGTTCAAAAGTTTAACTCAATCTTATTAACTCTCCATAGAATATTTTATATTTTTACTCTCTGAATTTCTCTTGTGGTGGAAAGCAACACATAGGTGAGTATAAGCTACAGGAGGAAAAAAAGGGTCATGTAGTCAAATGTTATGAACTCTTCAAGCCCCCAGAATAATATGGAGAGGTGCAAACTCTTCAAATGCTCCATCAGATTGGCACCTAAAGAGAGAACATCATGATCCCAAGCACTACAGCGGAGCTACCCCTGGGACAGAGACATCAGCTGATTAACAATGCTTCACAAGAGGTTGAGGACAGAGAGTAGGGCTGAACATAATTTAAATCCAACTGAAGATATGAGAGAAATTTAGGTTGGTGGAATTTAGACAACCCTTGCTCTTTTAAAAAGTCCCATGGGATCTTTAATGGCCACAAGTGGTTAAGATGTAGCTTCTACATCTCATGTAATGAGAGCACAACATGTACTCTAAAAGAGAAATAGGTACTTCTCTAAAGTGTGTAAAGTGCTGTCTTTCTACCTGTCTCCTCCAACTTCAGCTATGTAGAATTTGCAAGCGGAACAAAAAGCTAGGAGATGAGTGAACTAGGACATTCATGGTTAGAGGGTACAGAAGGCCGTCTTAATGACAGCAGAGGAGAAAGAATCAGCCTTTGATTATTTTTGACAGAGTTGTAAAAGGCTCAGATTGCAGCCTGACAAACAGCTCAGAGAGATCCTATGCCCAAACCAGAGAAATCTCTTTGGCCAAGCTAACAGAAATACAGGGCCCTAGTCTAGAGGGAGTGAAGGCTTTCTAAAACCAAACACTATTCAACATTTAGATTCAGAGTGTTTAAAAAGAGGTACTAATGCCAACCAGCATTTGCACTTTTGCAATTCGCATGCTGAAGAAAGTAAAGAAGATCTTGCCATGTCATGATGCTGCTGTATATGACACAAAGCCATGACCTTGCAATGCAAAACAGGGAGTTGTTCTATTGCCATCACAAGCTAAACTTACAAGACATGTTATCCCATAAAATTCTAGGGAATCCCAAGAGATTCTGGGTAGCCAGCAATCCTTATTCCAACCCATCTATCTCAAATAAGAATTGGTTTGAGTGGTTGAGTAGGCATTGATTTCATGTACCCCTCAGAATAAACCCCTCAGAAACCTCTCAGAATAAACAATAAACTCTGTCCCTGCTTCTAAAATGTGGCAAAGTGTTTGTCGTGGGTTGTTGACACTGACAATATTAGAAACAGCCTTCAGTAAAGAGAGATTTTTTTCTGGTTATAACGCGTATTTTCTAATCTTCACTCAGGCAAACAGAAACTGTTGTATAACTGGGTTAAGAAAATTGAGGTCTTGTTCCTAGAGGAGAGGTGCCCAACCAGAAGCTGAAGAGGTGTCTACAGCACCCTCGCTGGCAGTCCCAGCAGAGCAAGGATTGAATGGGCTTGGGGCCATATTTCCATATCCCAGAGTTTCTACAGGAAGAGCTCACTGGTGGGGCAGCTTGCTGCTGTATCACCAGAATTTAAGTCTGCAGGTTTGTCTGGCTTTTTCTGGGACTAAACTCACTCAATATTTAAAAAAAAAATGTAGTGGCACATAATTCTCCTGCTCCCCTGGCTGAGAACAACAGCCAAAAGAAAGACCAGCATTCTAGAGAAGAAATTGGTTGGGAGGGGACTAATAAACTCTTGACAATTAGTCTATGAAGCCTATTCATACCCTCAACTTGCCTGACAGACAGGTATTGAACAATGGGAAACGTCAGAGAAATGGGCTTCTTCAGTCTCACTACAATGCCATCCTCACTTCATTTGCTGCTTAGTGGGGAAGCTTTTCTGAGAGTCAGGAATCAGCTCTTTAAATAAAGCCAGCCTCAAAGTTCAGCATTTTGGTGGTTTACACTAAGCAGGAGTTTGCTCATCCATAGCAGCATGGGCTGCAGTAAATCCAGTTGCCTGACCTCTTAATACTGTCTTCTATCCAGCATTAGAGAAAAAGATACATAGTGAGAAAACTCTGCTACCATAGTAGGGGTCTATGCACTAAGATACATCATCTTCTGTTTGCTTAGAGAATATGTAAAGCCAAGGGTGGGAGCAGGGCCGGCTCCAGGCACCAGCCCACCAAGCTTGTGCTTGGGGCGGCACCTGGAGGGGGGCGGCAGGGCGCTCCGGCCGCCGGGGAGAGCGAGGCCACAGCCGGGCTCGCTGACCTGCCCCCTGCTCTCTGGCCGCCGGGGGGGAGAGCCGAGCCCCCGCCGTGGCTCGCCGCCCTCCTCCCAGGGCTCCGACCGCCCTCCCCGCGGGCGCCCTCCCCCCGGCCGCAGGGGGAGAGCGGAGCCCCCGCCGGGGCTCACCGCCCTCCCCCCCAGCGTCCTCCCCCTGGCTGCGGGGGGAGAGCGGAGCCCCCGCCGGGGCTCGCCGCCCTCCCCCCGGGGCTCCGGCCGCCCTCCGCCCCCCCGCAGGGGGGGGGACGGCCGGAGGCTTTTTTGCCTGGGGCAGCAAAAAAGCCAGAGCCGGCCCTGGGTGGGAGAACGGCACCAATGCTGCAAGAAGAAAATGCCTTCAGTTTTATGGGCACCAATCAAAGCTGCAGTTTCAATGCTAGAACTTGAATTTTATTAGTCGCATAAATTGTATGCTACGAACTCTTCCTATATGCCTACCTGATGCCTGGTGAGCAGATGTAATCTATGTAGGGTATCCGCAAAAGCACCAGTGGTACTATAGAAAATATACAAGGACAGATTAAGTTGTCCTGATGAGTTATCAGGGATGGGGAGCAGCAAGGAAAAAGGTCAAAGAGAGCGGACCCTGTTACACCTATCAGTACCATAGCCGCAGGAGAGAAGAGAACATTCTGACCCAGCACAGACAAGTGAGCTTGCTACAAGACATGGGAACATCCAAAATTTTGGATCCTGACTCAGAGGATAGTGATCACCTCCAGCTGAAGGGGAATCTTTACACTGTTGCTCAGCACCGTTAATCAACTGCTGGCCTACAAAATCCCTTTCTGAGGTTCTCCCCAGAATGTGTGTTTTAAAGGTGTGGTCAGAAGAAACGAAGGATAAAAATATCCAGTATTGCCAGGAACAGGCATGGGTGCACATCTGGAGGGATCCAATGCCTGAAGGCTAACACTCGTTATTGGTAACACTGCTAAAAATTTAGCACACACATTCTGGAGAAGATCAGAAAATGCCAAAAATATTAAACAACAAAGGGGATTTTATCTGAAGAAAAGTATTCTGTGACACACAGATAGATACACAAAATATTTACATTTTATGTTTTATATATATATATACACATATGCATGCATATACATATCTATCTATAGATACCTATATACATACTCAGAGAAATATAGAGGTAAGGATAAATATATTACATGTACATCAAAAATGAAGACAAAGGCAAGCTATCTTTTGGATAAGTAACCGCAACTGAGTCAGTCCCTAATGTGACCACAGGAGAGAAATCAGAAATCTGGAAATGAGGCAGGACTTCTTTTATTGCCTCCAGAGAGGTGATGTAGTAAGAGCCCAGCACTGCGCTCTCTCCTCCTAAAGCCCTCAAATTATTCCCACCTGTGGTGCTGAGAGAGTAAGTGAAAGGAAGTGGAACATTATATTTTTCATGAGCTAATCCAAGGAAACTGACCGCTCAGGTTTCCATTTCTTTCGGCAATAATAATTTACACTAGGGCTGCACTCTTTTGTTATTTTTTGCGCAGCCGGAATGGTCTCTTCAAGATAACAGATATTTAAACTGCAATTTACGAAGAGGAGGTAGCCAGTAATCTATAGGTATTCAGAAATTCTCGTCGCTTAGGTCTCTGGCTGGCTCAATACAGTATGCTTCAAAAACAGACATCCCTTAGGAAATCCTGAAGGCATGTACGAGAGTTTTGAAACAGAAAGTAAACAAACACAATCCTACTACTGTACCTTTGCTTTGGGGTGGGTTCTGACTCCTGTCTCGGAGAACATTAATCTGGTAGACAGCTCCATAAGGCTCAAAAAGTTCTTTTAGCTCTTTTTCCGACCATGAACGTGGGATTTGTCCAACAAACATCTTAATGGCATCTGGGTCTGGTTGGTCTGAGTGATCCAAAGCTCCATTCATCTTGTTAGCTGTGCCGTTACTAAAAAGTGGAACAAAGAGATAAAAATAATAGGCATAGTTAGGAGACTGAGCATTTTTGATGTATAATAGATGCAGAAAAAGATGTCAACAGGGCACAATGGGGAAAAAACTGGGCTTAATTAACAGTATAAATGTTACGAACAAAAGCAATGCAAAAATGACATTACATTTTTCATTGAGACTGCAGGCTGCTGCTTAATACGGTTATATCAGAAAAGAGCTGGAAAATACAAGCCACGAGCCAGTACTTTTGCATCGTAAAGTGAAGGATAATTATGAATAAGTGGAGATTTCTATATACGGCTGCTGTAAACAGCACCAAACCAGCTATTGGCAGAAATAAGGCTGTGCCTGATTTGTGTGTGTGTGTGTGTGTGTGTGTTTTGTAATAAGTCACATGAAAAGAATATGAAATGCTCGGCAATCTGTCAGATGACTAATGCAAGATGCCAGCGATGAATTTGCAGATTGTGTGAAGCATCCATGTGTGCATCAAATTAGGATAATATTGCCTAGAATGGAAAACACTCCAGCTATGCGGCTGGTTGCTGCCGATTAGTTGCCTACACTTTTAAAAAGGGAATGGGTGCACCCTGGAACAAAGAGCACAATTCAGAAGGGGAAGACGGCTGCAGAATTGCCTGCTTTGTTCAGAAAATGAAAATACTGCTTCAAAAAGTTTAGCGCCATGTAAATAACATTACATGTTTCAAATCGTTCACATCCCATAAATTCCCTACCCGATCTAATTTCCAGATGTGCATTTACGTTTGAAACAACTATGCATTTTGAAAAAAAAAATATTTTATTCTTCTTGATAATTTTGAACTTCTTGGAGTAGGAAAATTGCATATCACAGAGTACAACTTTTCCTGAATGTTAGGAAAACAAATTATTTTATGTACCGAATAAAGGTAAAATGCATAAAACTCAAGTCACCACTGGTAATTAACAATAATCATTTCGAAACTCTTTTCTTGGACCAAGATTTCCTATAGTAACTAGTAGTGATTTTGGGTGACCAATTGGACACACCTTAAAGCGGCCTGGTTTTCAGAAAGTGCTGAGCACCCATCCTCTGAAACTCAGGCCTCTTTAAGGCATGTCAAAAGTTGATCAGCTAAAAATTGAGGTACCTAGAATCCCCTGTCACTTTTGAAAACCTTGGCTTTGGATCATAGGTTCTCTAGCTGATACCTGCCCAGAAGAGAACACCCACATCACTCAAGGGCTGGAGAATGCACATAATTTCCCTGGCATAAGGCATAATTTCCCTGCCTTAGGGCTAAAACAAATTATTCAGTTTTTGGTAGTTCGCTTCCTCTGAAGCATAGTGCACCTGGACACATTAATATGCCCATATTAACCTTTGAACTTTTCCTAGATATTGAAGGGAGGAGAAAAAGTTACATGAAAAGCACATTTCAAAACTGATGATGAAAAGTTCCATCATCAGTTTTGTCAAGTGTCTTTAACGTGGCTTAATGGGCAATAGAATAAACCTCACTCACTTATTAACCTTCAATGACTCATCTCTTTCCTGAATTACTACAGGAGAAAAACCTGCAAGTCTCTTCTCCGGCAAAATTCCTATGGATTCTAGTAGGATTTTGGCCTAAATAAAGGACAAAAGGATTTTGCTCATCCCTTTCTATTGTCTTTAATGTACAAATATTCTTGCCCGTCTTACACCCCTTCTTAGTTTCAAAGCTCTTTCACTGATCACAAGAACTCTAATGTGGCTCTTCAGATATTTGTGGGATCATTACCATCACCCATCCATTTCAGCATAATGAACGAGAGAGAAATAATGCAGCAGAAAAACAAAGGCCCTAATCCTGCAAGTTGCTCCATGCAAGCAGCCTTCCCCACCCATGCAGAGGCTCACTGACTCCCCTGGGATTCCATGTGATGCTAGGGTGACCAGATGTCCCGATTTTATAGAGACAGTCCCAATTTTTGGATCTTTTTCTTATATAGGCTCCTATTACCCCCACACCCCGTCCCGATTTTTCACACTTGCTGGCTGGTCACCCTATGTGACGCAGAGGTTCACCCATGCACAGCAGCTTGTAAGTTTGGGGCTTCAATACTTTACTTATCAGAGTTAGATGTAGGGATTGCTCAATGAAATTCTATGGCCAATATTATGCAGCGGGTCAAACCTAATGATCATAATGATCCCTTCTGGCCTTGAGAACCGAGGAACCATATTTCACACTTACATAGTGACTTTCCTTTGAAAGTAAAAAAAAACAAAAAAACCCCCAAAAAACATCTGATCTATTCAGAGGAGATTTTCGAAGACATTAATGGCTATTAGACACCAAACTCCCCATCATTTAGATTCAGGCACTTAATTGCCATTTGGGCCTTTGAAAACCTCCCCCTTATGTATTTCATACCATTTTAGAAACATTGACTAGTTAAATTCTGCAATGTAACCTTTGCTTTGATAGCCTTTATACTGGTTCATATATTTTGGTTAGGAAGCAAGCCAAGATTACTTGCACTTTGATTTCTTCCTTATTTATGTTAATGTGCAATATTTTAGAAACATTAACAAACATAATTCATTATTAAAAGTTCTATTCTCTACTCCTTTACTCCTCCAGTCTGTACATTCAACATATACACACAGGTATAGGGTCAAAATTATGCCACAAATTGCACTTGATGTGGGATAACAAGTGTACACATTGGTAGACTTGTTCTGGGTAGGAGGAAAAAACAATGGCAATGTGATGGCACCACTCTGTTTCTAACTAATGAAACAAGTGAAACTGACCTTTAGAAAACACATCAACACAAACAAACAAAATCAGTGTCCATTCCAATGAATCCCTGTCATCATTATGGGCCTGATTCAGCAAAGCCCTTAGTATATGATTAAATCCATCCCAATTCAACAAAGCAGCTAAGCACTTGCTTAACTTTAATGGAATTTAAGGGGGATTAAATTAAGCATGTTCTTAAGTGCTTTACTGATTTTGTGTTTAAATTTCAGCCCTTGCTGAAGTGCTTTGCTGAATCAGGACCTAAACGAATAACTGAATGATGGAATTTAAAACTCTTGGGTTTTTATTCTTGGTTTGCCACTGACTCACTGCATTATCTTGGGCAAGTGACTCAAACCTTTCTGTGACAATTTCTACCCTTTTCAACACCTGTGCAAGCCTATTGACAGCAGGTGGGTGAAGGAAGAACAAAATTTGTCCTTGTCCACGTAAACTGGCGCAACTGTTCAATGGGTTTATAATATTTTCCTATTTGGAACAGTGGTGTTGGGCGTAAAAGTATACTGACACCAATAGAAAAAGGGGGTAGGCAAATTATAGCCACATAAATAGAATGCGTTTCTGTGGGCATATTTGGGCTACTCTTTGAAGCTGCTGAATGCCTCCTTGTAGGTTTGGAGCTCTCTCCCTTGCCACTGAGTTCAATGAGAGTTGAGGCTAACACATTCCTTGGGCCCACAATCTATTTTAGGGTTTTACAATTGTGCCCATCACCGTAGGAGGCTAACGCATTAGGACTATTCATAAAGATAAATCAACTGGAAAAAAATAGGGAGAGGAAGAACTGTTTTTCATTAATCCAATTCCTACGGTCTACTCCGAGCATACGCTGAGAATCACAATCCTACAAACACCTGCATTAAGATTCAGCTATCACATTGTCTGTTTGGGGAAATAAGTAATGTCCTTTTGAGTAGGATATGGTGAAGATGATGAGATGAATGGCATAATCTCCAAGCAGCCCCCCAAAAAACTAAAAAAGGAAACCCCAACTAAAGGAGGAAAACCCCCTATGCCCTTAACTTTCTCTTGCCTAGAAAATATTTTGTATTAGGCTGAGACTTGTTAGTCATCAATGAGAAGGAGCCGTTTTGTCACTTGGCTTTGCTGATACACCGGAACTCAGTGGAAGTGGCTCTCTCCCCTCTCCCCCTTACTCAGGAAATAACAAGGAAAAAAAGAGAAACCACACACGAAACTTTATTTCCAAGAGGAAACAAACCAATACACTGGAAACCTTAAGGCCTCTACTATTTCTTGAAAGTGTGAGCACAAAAGGGAGCTGAGTCTAGGGGACACTAATGAGAGCAGAATCCCATGACAATTACTGTCAGTACCCAGATGATGATATATCGAAAAGAAAATTTAGGTTATGCGACCAGCTGCCTCTGCGCTGCAGTAAGTCTCCCTCTATGGCCAATTTAGTCCACTGGACTCACGGGTGACCCAGCACGTTATCCTAATCACTGACAAGGTGTCATCTATATTGTGGAGAGCAGCCTGAGGGCAGAGATTAAGCCAGTGAGTGGCTGACTGCTTATGGTTGCTGCCAGAGCATCCTTTCTCTCAATTTGTGCCAATTTTCCTTCTAATAACCTACCTATTGTTCCATCATTTCAGGAAGCTGACAGGGCCACTCTTTGAGGAGCGATAGATTGTTTTGCTATTACTTACATTTACTAGCAGTACCCCACTCTTGTTTTTAATCCCAGCAAATCTACTGGGAGTGAATTTATTACTAATTAGAGATGGGCCCTGGAACCACAGTGTTTGGGTCTGGATCTTAAGATACCAGGCCAGACTCATTTCCATTCACAACAAGCCAATTGTTCAACAGTCAGTGGTAGTGACCAAAATAGCTTCGATTCAGGCCCGTTTCTTGGCCTGATGTGAACCTTTCTGACAGTATTATTTTGGTTAGCTCCTCTCCCCATCCCAAGCCTCACCCGACTCCAATTATTTTAATGTTTTGTCCAGATTTGCCTTTCCTTCTATGATCCAGTGCTACAAAACATGGGCTTAACTGTAAACAAATGATTAAGGCCCCCCTCCCACCCGCTTAACAGTAATAATGCCCTATAAATGTAGAAAGGCTGGGAAATGTAGAAGGAAAAAATAGGCTGCAAGTGAACGAACTATTAAATGCATCTTAATACAAAGGCACTTTAGTTTCATAGTAGTAAATATTTAGTGCCCGTAG